GATGTAATTATAAATTTCAAAATTTATTAAATCTAAATATTATAACCGTCGAAGACGGGTGCGACAGCTAGTCGATAATAAAATCTTAACGAAATCGATACCTACTTTTCTTTTTCACAAATTAAAAATCGATTAACGCTATAGGTTCACAGCATCAAGTGAATAAAGTGAGAGAAAATTAAACATGAAAAAAGGTGTTCTTTACATCGTAAATTATATTTGACTCACCTACATATATGTTTAAATTTTTTTTTAACTTAAAAATTCATAACAGAGCGCAATTGCCTCTAATATATACTGTGCCAAATTCTTGTTTTCCATATATTATAAGTAATATTCGTCACCGGATGAAAAAGATAGATGTAAATGATTTATTCACTCTTGTAGCAAAGTTAGTGCAAGGTTGCCAAACAACATTGCTTTAAACTTAAAATTTTTTTGTAATGTTTCGTCTAATTTACATAATAAATTTATATAAATTAGACGAAACATTAAAAAAAAAAATTTTAGGTTCAAAGGATATTACCATACAAGCTTACACGAAGAAAAATGTGATTGTGCTGCAAACAATTTTTGGATTGTTGTCAGTAGATTTGTTGATATTACAATTCGAAATGTTAATATTACAATTCGGATTGTTGTCAATACAAATGTATGTTGTTTTAACAACAAGAATTTTTTGTTGTCAGTTTTGTTCAGTTATCTATCTATCTATCTATCTATCTATGTATTATTATTATTATTATTAATATTAATAATAATATTAATACTTCTTAAATATTATTTTTGTATTTTTTACAAATATTTTCGTCCAACCTTTTCTGAAAATTTAATTTAAATTTTTAGGAAATGTTCATCACAAAAATTGACTGAATATTTAAATTACATTTTCACTCAACTTTCGGTATAAATTTTTAATAAATATTTAATTTAAATTTTTAGTCAACTTTTACGCCAAACATTTCACGAAACTTTAATTTAAATCTTCACTCAATTTTCGCATCGAAAATTTCTGGAAAATTTAATTTAAATCTTCCGTCAAGTTTTACGCCAAACATTTACTCATTTTGGACATTTAAATCTTTATACAATTTTCTCTAAACTTTGCAATTAAAGTTTCCGAAGTTTGCAAATAAATCTTTAGGAAATTTTCGGTGCTGTGGGGGAAGTGAGAAATCTAATTCAAGTGTAGTGAATGGATGAAGAGACAATTTCATAATTTATCGGTAAGTTATACTCGGTTAATTGTTGAACATAAACTCACCTTAAAAAATACAAAATGTATATTAAATATTATTTAAGAATAAATTTCAACTCAAAATAATTTTTTGGTTACAGTTCAAAGAATTGTATTAAACGGATCAAAGCTTTGTTAATAGAACAAATTGTATTGCCGATTTAACAATTTAGTTTTGTTAATTTAACTGTTCCATAACAATTTTCTTTGTTCAACAAATAATTCTGTTTGTTCACCGAACAATCCGAATAGTTTTAATAACAATCCCATTTTAACAATTTTTTTTGTTCCATATAAACAAATAGAACTACTGGTTCTATATTGACAATCTGGAATTGTTGTGTCGACTTAATTTTTAGTCACCACACAACAATTCTTTTTTCTCCATGTACTAAGCAATCTTGCGATAATTTTACTGTGCAATCTTGCAGTAATCTTACACTGCAATCTTTCGGTAAGTTTAGCATGCAAACTTTCGGTCAGGTGGGATATTTGAAGCTTACGTGCTACCTGGGTTCTTATGTTTAAAAAAAAATTTTTAATTGAGAAGAAATAAATTACCTATACTATTTAAATAAAATTTTTAATAAAAACTTTCTAAATTACTCAATTATAAAATAAAATTTTATAAATTTTTAATTTTCCTCATGAATTGTCTGTAAATATGTACACTAAATTGTTTGGCGTAACAGAAATTCTACTATAATAAAAGAACAATCCAAAACATTTATCTGGATATAATTTAAAATTATCTAGATAAATTTTCTAAATTTTTTCTTTATATACATATTATTGACACTAAATGTATCTCAGAAATATTGTACTATAATAAAGTTGCACTGAATAATAATTAATAACTTATTCATCTTTTGCAAAAAAATTTCATTATTTAATATTTTTTATTTGCTTGTAATTGTGTATGATTATACAAATGCAACATACTGACACAGTTCCAATTTTTATAAACATTAAAAAAAACTCGTTTGTCAACTTGGATTATAGTTTATAATAATAATTGTTTTCTCTCCACAGATGTTTCTTGATAAACATTTCATTTCGTTACAATTTAAAACACCTTATAAAACTTTTAACGAACTTTCCTTTTTTAATGGTGATAATTGAATCACATTATGTAACACACTTTTATTATTATCATCGCACGTACTAAAATTACGCATATATATTTTTAAATTGGTGTACAAATTATGTGTATCATTCATATTTTTTTTATTTACGTTTAACGAATATGATTAAAATTCTTTCGCACTAATTTATTATTTCTGCTAGGTGATTAAACCCCTGGATTAAAAATATAATTTACAACCTCTACTCGCTCGGGGTATTCCTTGCATATGTAGTTTTACAAATCTACATTAATACGACATAAATTCAAATAAATGAAAATCTTCACAGGCAGTATCAATTTTCTACAATTTTACACTTGAAACAAGAGTGTATAAATAATAGGAAAACTATTACTATATCGATTTTTTAAAATACAGTCGTTCTGGTCAAAATGTAAACTTATCAGATCCTAAACTATATTTCAAACATTTTTTTTCTAAGCTTTTACAATAATTTTAAACAATAAATTAATTAGAAGGTTTCGTATGAATAAAACGATAACATTCGGACCATTGTTGTTTTAATAAAGGTTTACTCCAACGTTTCGAAATCTAAATAATTTTCTCTTCAGGAAGTCTATCAAAATTACAATAAATTGTCAAATAAATAAATACAAAAAAATAATTAAAATAAATACAGTGAAACATCAAAAATAAATACAGTCAATGATAAATTAAATACAATAATAATAATGAAAATAGAAATAAAAACAAATACAATAAAAATAAGAATAAACACAATAGATAGTAAAAAATAAATAAAATAACAATAATAAGCAATAAATTAAATACAATCAATTTCAAATAATCTTACCAAATAAGAAACATATGTCAAGTCATAGAAATAATGGTCAATTGCGGTGTCAAATTAATAAAAACAAAACCACCCTAACGTTGGAGAAAACATAGAGTTTGGAGTTCAAATCTAAAATTGAATGAATCAAATTCACTATAAATTAAAAATTATATAAAGAATAAATTAATAATTTAAAATTCGAAAATTAAAATAATAGATTACATACCAATCAATTCATTTTTTAAAAACAAGTAATAACTGAACAGACACATTATAAATAAAACATATGATAAATAAATAAATAAATAAATCACACAATCTATAAATAAACAATATAAAATGAAATAAATAAAATAAAATATTATGTGTTCTGTTCCCAACGTCAACTTTAAAACTGATCTCCAAACACTATCGACTCTTTACAATAAATTATCAATTGAACAAAACGAAAATAAAAACAAAAACAATTGTATAAGAAATAGAGAATAACTAAAATGAGCAATTTTTCATTTTAAATTGTTAGAAATAAAATTCAAAATTATTTCATACGACTTATCAAAATTTTCCAAGTCTGTCATTTTATTTAAGCTATTTTTTCCTTCTTTTTTAATAAAACACATTTCAGCAAATAATCGCTTTTTTAGATTTGATTCAACATGCAATATCTTAAATTCATCCCATTTTATAAAGTGTGAAAAAGTGTCATTTTTGTAACGAAACCTTCTAATTAATATATTTCTCGGACGTTAAACTATTTAAATAAACAATAAATAAAAATTGTATGTAATATTTTATTAAATAAAAGTATTTCAGTCAGTTTTCAAAAATTTTAAATGGGGGATCCAATATGGCGGACATGAAAATTGAAAATCGACTGAATTTGCATAAAACTCGTTACTCAGGGGTTTTTCAGGTCGCCGAAAACAAAAAACGAAAGTATAATATTTAAAGCATTCAGAACACGGTTAAATGAAAATAAAAGACGATTACATTTATCATGTACTTGACAATATTTAGTACTTAGCCTTCACCCATCAATATTATTATTAATAAAAACGGTTACATTAATCTTTTTGTTACTGAATCTAATGTACCTTTTTTGACTCACATATAGATTACTTTGTTCAAGTAGAATGTCATTTATATCGGGTGTAAACTTAATATAGAATATTTGTTCCAGAATCTACAGTAAAAAAAAACACCACCTCTAAGCCTATTTCTACTGTACAAAATAATATCTTTTTTTAAATGATCACTCTAAGGTTCATTATTACTCGAGTCATGCTAAGGAAAGAGTAAATGTAACTATCGTCATTTGTTTCATTGAATCTGATATTTACATGTTAAGGGAAAATTATTACAATTCATTACTATCCCGGAGTAAAGAATTTTATTCGAATTCATTCGATTTTCAATTTTTATGTCCGCCATATTTGATCTTCCATTTTGAATTTTTGAAAACTGACATCAAATTCGTATTCAGCGAGCCCAAAAACCCCTGAGTAACAAGTTTCAAGCGAATTTAGTGAAAAAAATGTGTGACTGAAAGGGATAAGCAACAAGTGCAATCTAAAAATGTAATTGAAAAAAAAATTCTGTAAGAATTACCCGATTGGAAATTTGATCAGATTTGAAATAGTTATTGATTATATATATATATATATATATATATATAAGCAGAGAAGTTGCTTAGAAAAAAACGCCTACATGCATCAAGTGTCTATTGACAAGAGTCTATGGATTGGCTTAAGTTTAACGTGTTATACAATCGTGAAGTCACATTATATATTACAATGTGTACGGTATTTGCACTATCATACAATATCGTGGGTAAATAAGTGTGCATTTGTAGGTGTGGCGTTAGAAAACTAAACAGCTAATGGAGGGGTGGCGCACACGATTGAAAGGAAAGTCCATTCCCTATATAAAGGGTTGTTTTCTGACATTATTAAACAGAACGTATCTTATTTATCTACCTTAAACATTGTCAGTTTAGACATGAGGGTCTTGGTACGTGTTTGTTGTTTTTTTTCATTTTTCAATCTCAAAATTAATTATTTACAAAAAGAAAAATGCGTGTTTATATAATATTAAATTTTGTGATAAATCGCTTATATTATTTTCGGAGTGTATATTATTATACTACTATAGTGGAAAATTGATATCGTGATTTTTAATATAAAATACCTATACTTGGATTCGAATAAATAATAGTGATTTCTATATTTTAAATGATGATATTCATTAATCGAATTCAGTTCATAATTTACTGATATAAATTTGTTTTTTATTCAAACTAGTTTTATGTAAACTTTTGTAAAATATAATTTTCTCTTAAATTCAATTGTTATTTAAATTAATTTAAAGTTTAAACTGTCTTAAGCCAAAAATGTACTCTCAAAATTATACCATTACATTTTCTTTGCTATATTTTTATACTCTCTAAATATGAATTTTGTGAAAAAGTCACTGCACTGGTCTCAAATCAATCGCTAAATTCTAGCTATTTGAATCAGTGTTTTTCACTGACAGTTAGTGACTGAAATGTTACTGATTCAAATAGCTAGGATTTAGCGACTGATTTGAGATCAGTGACTTTTTCACTGATTCAAATTTAGAGAGTAATTAAATACATATTTACTTTTTTAATGGAACGTATAGAAAATTTTTTAAAAAACTTAATTTTAATTTAATAAACATTTTTTAAATTCAATAAGCAAACCGTTGTTTATTCAAAGAATATTTTTTATTTTTTAGATTTGTTTACTTCTTGTCACGGTTGCGTATGCCGTAGAAGACAAGGCAGATGACAAGAATGTTAAAAAACGTGGTCTCCTCGGTCTTGGTTATGGATATGGAGGTTATGGAGGATATGGAGGACATGGGGTACATGGAATAGTTGATGGTGGTTGGGCACATGGAGGTTGGGCTCATGGTGGTTGGGCAAATGATCATCACACAACTGTTTTGACTAAAACTGTCGCTGTCCCACATGCCGTACCTGTTCATGTTCCAGTTCATGTCCCTGTTGATCGACCATATCCAGTAAAGGTCAGAAATTAGCAGCATACAAGAATTTATCAACTCTTTTATGATATTATTGAATTATTTTAAAGGAATATATAATTGATCCCGGCATATATGCTTAAATTTATATTATTTCTTGTCAATAGAAAAGTAATATTCACAGAGAATTTTGAGATATTAAAATAATATGCAGCGTTATTAATTCAAATTAAATTAAAATAAGAGATATGCATCTTATTTTAATAACTCACAATTTTCTAGGATATAATTGCTAATAGTAATAAAATTTATTTATGCTTTTTTTTCATTTTTCTATATTAATTTTTACTGAAATTGAATAAAAGTTTTGTTAAAATTAGAAAATTTATCACATAATACAATATTGGAATTTCCGGTCAATTTTCGAAAGTTTATTTTAACGATATTATTAGGTAATAATTTCTTTAGATTAACAAAAGCCATTGAATGAATGTTTCGAAACTTTTTGTTCGAATATAGCGGAATTACAAGTGTACAATGAAAGAAAATAATTATCAAATTTTTGATAGAAAGTATTTCATAATTTAAGAAAAATATACTGAAAAGGGAATTTAAAATAAAATTTTTTAATTTTTGAAAATCTTATACAAAAAATTCTAAGAATATAAAAATTTTATTAATATACAAATTTTAGTACTAAATGATACTAATACCGTAATTTTCTATTACGGCGCGTTTGTATCAATTACGGTGACTAAAATTACGTGTATTTTGAAGATACTTTGCCAACCGTAATTGAAGCTAATGGAAATCATAAAAATGTTTCAATTAAGGCAAGGGAAAAAATTTGATATCAAATAATTAAATTAATAATTTTTTAAATATGCATCTTTGTTAGTAATTATATCAAAAAAAAAAGATTGCAATAATTTTTTTTTAATCATTTTGCAACAGTTATTATAAATATAATAGTAATAACAGTTATTTTTTATGAACGCGCCGTAATTAGTGCACTTACCCTAATTATACTAAGTTGCGAATAAAAATTGTTTGAAGTTAAAAATTTTCATATGAAAATTTCACACTTATTTAGTATATTTACCCTAAATTATAAAATACTTTTATAAAAATTTTTACCAGTGTACATGAAAAATTATTTAAAATCAGGAAAAATGTATTGAAAACAAAAATGAGAAGAAAAATCATTTGCTTCAAATATTTGATATTTTTTGTGTGCTACCATCGCAACGATTTTTAAACATTTTTTAAACTATTGTTATTAATTTTTGTTTCAGGTACCAGTCGCTGTCCCCAAACCCTATCCAGTGGCAGTTCCTGTACCTCAACCCTATCCAGTTGTACACACCAAAACAGTAGCAGTTCCAGTTCATGTTGACAGACCAGTTCATGTTCCCGTTCCTGTCAAGGTTGCCGTTCCAGCCCCATATCCCGTTAAAGTAATTGCATTCAAATTAATTAATAATACCAATCGTCAAAAATAAATAAAATAACAAATACCAAAAATATTGTTGTTTTTAAAATTATATTTAATATTAAGTATAGGTAATTCATAATAATTTATAATAGTAATAATTTTTATAAATTTTTAAAAAATATCGCTTTTTTCAAATAGTTGTTAATGTTATTAAAAATAATTTAACTTTTCAGGTTCCAGTTCATCACACGGTTCCAGTTCCAGTTGCTGTTCCACATCCTGTGGTCGTGAAGGAAACAGTTCCTGTTCTTGTTCACGGTCATGGTCACGGTCACGGTCACTATGGTCACTATTAGATGAATATAATATTTTCCTTGTATCATTTCGAAAAGTCGCTCACTCATTATACATTTAAAAAAAAACGTCCATTATCTATAAAACTTTGTGTTTTCACCGCAAATATGATGTGTTTTATCTTCGACATTTCAATCAAAACTCTTTTTATAATATATAAATACTGACAGCGTTGACTAAAAATTAGTGTCTTGACATTCTTTTATAAAGAAAATCATGTGCATGATCTCACATGTCATCGCTTATTATTATTATTATTATTATTATTAACACATCCTTATAAGAAGTCAATATATGAGAATAAATAAAATTTTTATTTATGTGGATGAAAATATCCGGATATATAAAAAAATAAAAGTACAACAACTTTCACGCCAAATGTTCGATTTGGAGCGAAATAAATTAATATCCTCATGTTTAAAATTTATGGGATTTTTAATTACATTACCTTCCCACAATAATATGACATTTCATTTTATATATAGTATACATTTTATCTGGATTGCATGTATTTCTCTTGCAATCTTTACATATAGCACAACTGTATACTTTACTCTTGTGATCATTCTTTTTTTTTTTGCATTATTAGCTAATCGAATAATAATGATTTCAATGCGCGACGTTATAAAGAATAAACATTTATACAAGATTTATATTATATATGCAAACGATTGGTGAAGAAAACTTGGTTTTGAAATCTTTGGTGGTAGCACAAAGAATAATAATTAAGTACAAATAGAATATGTTTTCTATGCTTGATATAAGGGTGCGTTCAGTTTTATCTGATCTATTCTTGATGAAGATGATGATGATGATGATGAAGAAATTATTTAACATAGAAAAAAGGTGCTTTATTACTTCAAGTCTGAACTTTATGGTATCTTAATTTTATATATATACATATAAACTTTACAATCTTCCGTTGCATAATAATTTCGTAATTAGAAAAAAATAACAACAAAAAATGTCGTGTTGAATAAACTTTTATAGCTCAATTTTTTTTTTTTTAAATAAAATTTTTCACTTATACACTGAAAAAAAATTATCTGTTTAAAATAATCAGTTTCTTGACTATACATTGAATGTCAATTTTATATTTATATCACTATCAAATAATTCCTAAGTAAATTAAATTAAATTTTTATCAAATACAGAAATTATTAGTTTAAATAAAAAATATTTCGTGCAAGTAAATATTTACTTGATAATAGACTGATTATTTAAATTAAATCATTTTTTTCAGTACAATGTCATAAATAAATATAACATTTTCGCCATTTTTTTTTTTTTTTTTTTTGCCGAAAAAAACTGATACAATATTATTTATGATTTTAGCAAAATAAAAAAATAGCATGAAAGAGTATTTAGAAAAAAAAGTATCAAAAAATGTATTTGAAAATCCTTTAAGTAATATAATGCAGTGAAAGTAATTTTTTGTTTTTGATAAAATTTCTCCGTGCATATATATGTATATACGCAGAGAGTTTTGCAAAACTTTCCTGACTACAATATGTAGTTTGAATTAAAAAAAAAAATTAATATCCGCAACTTTCCTTGAATAATATTCTGACAACGTGTGACAAAACGCGACATTTGTCAAGTCCATTATATATATAGGAACATTATCATAACAAGGAAAGCATAATTTCGTTTAAACAGGAACTATGTCATGATAATTAGCATGACAATAGTAACTGTGTCCTATAAAGAATTTCGTAAATTTTTCTTAATTTCGCAACATTTCATAAGAATTGTTCCATGCTTTGTCGCATATATACAAGATTCAAAAATTGTTAAAAAAAATTTGATATAAAGTACGCATATCATTTTTGTTGCAAAATATCGAAAAATTATTTCCTGTATTATTTAAAAAAAGAAAAAAAAATTCACTGTCCACTACACAAAACCATCGACTTCCGATTCTTGTTTTCTCCTCTTGGAAATCAATCTCACTGTATATAGTCTTATAGGCTTATTCTATCGTCACTATCAAACATACTTTTCCTTACGTAATTCTTCATGTTGGATTTATTTCAAAAAAAAGAAATTTCTAATTTTGCAATGTTTTAAATATTTTTCGAAATATTGAAATATTTAATTTCTACTTTTTTCAAGTTAACAAAAAAAGGTATCAACTTTTTAAAAAACCTAAAGAATATCAGTAAAAATGAAAAAAAAGTTTTAAAATGAGTTTAATTTTTTGACGCTCCCTGATGATAAAGTGTTAATTCAAACTCCAATGCAATAACCCAAATGCGAAAACCAAAACGGCCCAATACTGGCCCAGTATTGGCAAAACAGGCAACGAGCCTTGATAGACAATATTGGTCCGACTTTTGTGGTGTTAACTGTGGTTGGACGTCGGCAGCCAAGTATCAGACGCCCTTACTGCCTCAACCTTGGCTGCCATTAGTGGCCCAGTATTGTCAAAGTTTAATTATTAATTAATTAACTAACTAATTCATTATACATCTGTAATTCCATTCCTGACAGAAACCACAATTGTTTAAACATTTGAAAATTTGTAACGCTCGCAGGAACCGAATATAACAATATAATATCAATTGAAATTGAGTTCAATAAAATGTTAATTTAATTTTCAGTTCAATATGATGATTATTCAAATAATAACATTAATTCTATCTTTTACACAATGTAAGGTTAAATCATTCATTATAATTTAATTTTCTTTATAATTTTACGAAAAACAAAGCACACATCTGACGGTGTTTTATGTTAAAAATTGTAAAATTTAAATTAGAAAACATAAATATTTTAAATGTTATTCAGAACTGTAATATTGAATTAAAAAATTAATTCTCCAGCTGATAAAACATTTTCAACGGTTTATAGAAAGTAAAACAAAATTTAAAAGGTTAAATGTAATTTAACAAAAAAATTAATAAATAATATAAAAATATATATAAAGCTTTCCCGAGCAGCACGGTATATCCCCTGAATATCCCTTAAATACCATCGTGAAATATTCCCATGATCTTCCAGGAAAATCAAAATGTCCGCCTCATGGAAATATTCCACGGTGACATTCAGGGAATATTCCAGTGACATTAAAGGTAATATTAAAGGAATATTCCAGTGATATTGAGGGAATATTCTACGGTTATATTGAATTTTTTTTTAAAGTGTTGAAATAATAAAAATGTGTTATAAATTGTTATTTAAATAAGCAGGAAGATTAAAAACACATTTAAAAAAAAAATTCAATATAACCGTGGAATATTCTCTCAATATCACTGGAATATTCCCTCAATATCACCTGAATATCCCCTTAATGTCACTGGAATATTCCATGTATGACACTGAGGAATATTCCCTCAATGTCACTGGAATATACCCTGAATGTCACTGTGGAATATTCCCATGATGCGGACATTTTGATTTTCCTAGAAAATCATGAGAATATTCCGCTGTGGTACTCAAGGAATATTCAGGGAATTTACCGTGCTGCTTGGGTTGCAGAATATATATAATTTACTTAATTTACTTAATTGTAAAATATATTGAAGAATATTCATTCTTGACATTTTTTCTATAGTTATCACGGAGAAAAAAGAATTGTTGTGGTTACTAAAAATTAAGTCCACACAACAATTCCAGATTGTCAATATAGAACCAGCAGTTCTATTTGTTTTTGGGACAAAAAAAAACTGTTAAAATGGGATTGTTATTAAAACTATTCGGATTATTTGGTGAACAAAAAGAATTATTTGATGAACAAAGAAAATTGTTATGGAACAGTTAAAATAACAAAACTAAATTGTTAAATCGGCAATACAATTCGTTGTATTAACAAAGCTTCGATCCGTCTAATACAATTTGTTCAGTTTCTTCGCCTTCTAAAATAATCGATAGCAGATTTCCGTAGGTCATATCACTAATTTCATTTGCATTAAAATCTGTGGAACATGCAGCTTTTGAATCAAATTCTTTGACCTGAAACCAAAGAATTATTTTGAGTTGAAATTTGTTGTTAAATAATATTTAATATACATTTTGTATTTTTTAAGGTGAGGTTATGTTCAATAGTAACCGAGTATAACTTACCGATAAACGATGAAATTGTCTCTTCATCCATACACTACACTTGCAATATATTTCTCACTTTAATCGGATTCATTATTTAACATCACTTTGTCATTAAAAAAACTAATATTAAAAGCAAAAGTGGCACATGTGCCAGAAGCAAACGACGCGATTTGCACGCCAGTTTGCGAGAATTCAAGATGACCACGTGACATGGAACAATAAACCTGTCAGCTGAACAAATCCGGATTGTTCCATCAGCAATCGACAGAGAGTTTACTTCTGCAACTGTACGGAATTTCAAACTGAACAAAACTGACAACAAAAAATTCGTATTGTTGTTAAAACAACATACATTTGTATTGACAACAATCCGAATTGTAATATTAACATTTCGAATTGTAATATCAACAAATCTACTGACAACAATCCAAAAATTGTTTGCACCACAATCTGATTTTTCTCTATTTAAACTATAAATAAAGCACATCAATTTCTATTGTCAGATCTCATAATTTATACAATACAATTTAGAATATAATTGTTATCTTTTAACATATAGTATAAAAAGTATAACTTTTATCAAAAATAACTTGAAAATCTTGTTTACAAATAATACTAAATTTTAGGTTAGATTTTTACTTTGAGATAAGCAATAAAATTTATTTGTAACTACTACACAAATACTGAAATAAATAATTAGTAAAATACTTTCGAACTACAGTTTTAATGTTTCCCCTACTGAAAATCCCTGTATAAGATCTTGTACAATTTCCTGTACAGGATCAGCAACTGAACTTGTACAAGTTCTGACCAGTTCCTGTACAGGAAAATGCATACGAATTTGGAACAAGTTCATGTGTGAGATCTTGTACAAGATCTGGTGCAAGATCTTGTACAAGAAAGATGCTTGCACAAGAAAATGTTCATGTACAATTTCATGTATAAGTACTTGTACATGAACACGTCCATGTTCTTGCACATGTTAATTCATGTTTTTCTTTACTAAAAATTAAAAACTTCAAAGGCTGCGCAATAGTTTACTTTAACATTTACAGCTGCGCAATAGTTTTTAGCATGCATGAGTTACGAATCTTAGTGGTTAAAAATTATCAAAATCTCAAATTTTATTAAAAAAAAAAATTTTACAACTATTTCATGTGCAAGAACATGAACGTGTTCATGTACAAGTACTTATACATGAAATTGTACAAGATCATGTACATTTTCTTGTACAAGTATCTTTCTTGTACAAGATCTTGCACCAGATCTTGTACAAGATCTCACACATGAACTTGTTCCAAATTCGTATGCATTTTCCTGTACAGGAACTGGTCAGAACTTGTACAAGTTCAGTTGCTGATCCTGTACAGGAAATTGTACAAGATCTTATACAGGGATTTTCAGTAGGGTCGGACAACTATTTTACAATAATTATTAATTATTATTAATTATTAATTAATTTATTTATTATTATTAATTATTAATGTTTTACAATAGTAAAAACAATTTTATTCAATATCAAAAAATACAACACAAAGTTAGGATACAGACGCATTGGTAAACGAAAGTCGATTTTTTTGTCAATATAGCTTCTGTGCCTGCGTCGTATTCACTGATTTAATTTGAAGTTTGAAAATTTAGTTTGAAAATTTAAATAACTAATAAACAATATAAATCTAAATGATAATATAATAAGAAAAGAATTAATTTAATTAACATAACAAATTTGTATTTGTATCTTTATTTTGTTAAAAGTTGTCAGTATTTTATTAAAGCAGAAATGAAATTTTTCTATAAAATAAATAAATAATATAGTTATTTAAGTCTGGAAATAAATAAATTTTTTTTCTCCAGGTTCAAAGACGCATGACATAAATAAGAAATGACTGACAAATAGTGACACAGTAATTACCAAACGTTTTTTCAGCTTCCCTAAATATATATGTTTACTATATACTAATTCCCTAATCAGAGCAGAGATCACACAGCGGATTATTGTGTCGAAAATCTTCTAGTTCGGATAAAAGGATCGCAAGGTCACTTCAGAATGTTCGTCGACAAAAATTCCTTGTCTTTTCGACTGGATGCATTTACCAGGACAAATCCTTGGAAGAAATAAATCCTTAAAGACTCTCATGGACCGACTATTATACGAAACTATACACTCCATATCTTCTATTCTTGGATAGACTGTATATATAGTCTATGAAATGTGCAGATGCAAATGTGAATGCAAATCTCTTATATATACAAATTCAGAAGAATCTAGTGTGACTTTTGCAAGCTAGTTCTAAAAGGGAATGTCGAATGCAAATTTTTGGTCAAATTAAGGCGAGGATAGAATTTGCATTAGTGGGAAAGAAAAAAAAATGAAAAAACACATTCAAGTCAGCTTCCAAATGTGAAAAAGCTAACATATCCGGTCTAAATATTCTCTCAAGAAGTCTAGACTCTTGATCTTTCCTGACCAACACAACTCCTAACCAGTTGGTCCATCCGCACATTCTTTTTCAACGGCAAATTTATTATCTCGACCTTCTAATCGTTTTTATGCATTTTATAACAGAGAAAAAAATGAAGAACCTCTCCCTCTCTCTCATCATGACAAATTGAATGTTTAAAATTATGTTTTATCATTCTCTCTATAAATTTTATTTAGTAAAAACTTTTTAACCAATTTGAATTAACAACTCACTTTTTTCTTTAGAATCAGTTAAATTTTACTAATTCGATAGTAAATTTTCTTTTTACTATTAATTAAATTTTACTAATTCAAAAGCAAAAAGTGATTCACTAATTCAAATAAGTTAAAAATTTTACTAATTCTAATTTAAAATATTTTATGTACATTTTAATATACATTTTTTAATATTTTTTAATTGAATTACTATTTAAGTTTCAAAAAATGTTTGATTAAAATCAAAAGAATAAAGTTCATGTTATTGACTTTCAATGATTATTATTATTTAAATATTTATCAATAAACATATTTTTCTATCCATTATATTATTACACGTACTTTTTTGACCAGCGTTATAATCATGAATTTTAATCACCCGTCCAGGTATTATGGAAATACAGAATTCAAAGAAATGCATCCTAGTCAATGAATAATTTAGCCAAAGATATTAATTTTATTCTATCTTGTTTTAATATTGAAAAAAGTTGAATTTTATTTTTAACATCGAAAAATTTATTTCAAAGAAAAATATAAAAAAAATTACATCTCTTCTAGAGAAATATAAAAATTATTTTATATTTGTTGCATTTTATTGTTTTTGATATAACAAGGCAAAATATAACAGAGTACCTATATTTTTGTCATTATTTAAAAATTTTACAATTTCCAACGTCTAAAAAAAAGTAAAAAATTCGTTACTTCGAAAATACCTTTGTCTTTGACACGAGGTTAGTAAACTATAATTTAAAAAATATATTTTTTTTTTGTCATTGTCAATTATCTTTTATATCTAAGCAGAGACTTATAAAGGTAAAAAAAAATGAAAATCATGCTTTTTAGTGTCAGTACTTCTGAAAATTATGTCCTATAAAATTATAATAATAGAACAAAATTTAGGTCTGCAAAAAGGGATCCATAGTGCGTACAAAGAGGGGTAAGGATTAAAATTCTTTTTGGGACGTTTTCTTTTTTTTACAGGTGCAGTCAATTATAAATGGAACCAAAGGTACAAAATTGGGGTTCTTTTATATCCTTCAAGTCGTTTGAGACATCGGAAATTCCACTAATTTGGTACTTATAAAACGAATCGTATAATTTTCGTTAAAACGACAAAACCGAATGAAAGCTGGCATTTTATGTAACTATATATATATATATATATATATATATATATATATATATATATATAAATTCACTCATGATTACAAATTTAGAAATCACAAACAGGACAAATAATTAAACTTCTTTTTGTTTTACAACATTAATTAATGTTTCCATCAAGAGTTTTATGCAAAAAAACTAGATCACTGAATGTGAAAACAACAATATTTTTAGAATAAAATTTTAATAGCTTTTTTATGTGTATATTAAATAAATTAAAAATCATTAATTAGATAACTGAAAACAATTTTTTTATTTATATGAGTTTGTTAAAATTAAGATTTTATTATATCTTTAATTGGCAAATCACTTTTAAAGTGGTATTATTGACAAATTAAGAAAAGGAAAACAAGTTTAAAAATTAATTATAAAATGCGAAGAATAACAAAAAGATAAGAAAAAACAATAAGAAAAAGAGCATTTTAGTAATTTAGTAAATATTTCTGTCAATTTTTAGTTATTAGTTTTAGTAGGTATACTTATAATTAATAAATCACAAATTTTAATAAAAATGTTATAAAAACTTCAACTAAAATTATTCAAAATAAATCTTACCTAACAGTTAGTGCCCTATTATTTTACACATCACCTTTCGTCGGAATTCGCAGAAAAAAAAATTCCCAAAATTTCGACAAGATTATCAAAAAAATTTGAATCTCTTTCTTTCTAAGAAGAATCTGTCAAGAAAATCTCAACCTCTGTGAAGAATCTAAAAAGAAATTATTTCTTTTTCTTTCTTTTCAACTTTTATTTATCTCAATCACAAGATAATAATAAGAATCAGAAATTAAAATCTCAGTATCCGAAAAAATAAATGTAGGAGTGACAATTCTGAAAGTCTCGAATGAATAACATGTGACTGAACGTAAAAATTTTATAACGCATTTATCCGAAATATCCAAAGTGCAAATAACAAGTAACCGGACCCAATAAATTGCTGTCAAAAATAAAAATCTATATAAATGAAATTCGCGCGCGTGTAACGTAATCGCAGTATGCGTATATGTACACGTATATAGCAAAATAAGTTGTGCAACAAAATGAGAAATGTTTGGAACTTCTCGTCAAATATGAATTTCAGACACACACAGTCGATTTCTTTTGGGCCTTTCCTCCCCATACTAACCTCCCATGGGGTCCACCTCCCAACACCGCCTCATCATATGAGGGTTCATGAGAACCAATCCTATATAAGCGGGGGTCCTCGCAAAATTCTTCAGTTGCAAATCAAGACATCAGCATCATGGATTCCAAGGTAAATTAACAATATTTGCATCAACCCCTTCTGCCTTATTCTTTAAACGCTCCTTTAAATTGTGTTAACAGCAATAAATAATAATAATAATTTCAAAAATTAAGGTTCTTTTTTGTTCCATTTGATAACAAAATTCTAGTATCTAAATAGAAATTTATAAAAATATAATAATAATGGTAAAAATAATAATAATAATAATAATAATAATAATAATAATAATAATAATAATAATAATAATAATAATAATAATAATAACGATAATGATAATAAAAATATATCCATCAGAAATCCTTCTAATTAGAGTTACAATTTCAATAATTTAATAAAAAACATTTTATTTTAAATTACATTAAGTTATTTAAAAGAATGTTACAGACAAAAAATATTTTTTAAATATTTTAGGGATATTAGTTTTTTGAAAAAACTATTTTAAAAAAGTTTTAATTTGTAACAAAATTCCATTAGTTTAGTTGAAAAATAAAGTTTTGCATAATTAATAATTTTGGGTATTTAAGTAATAAAATTGAAAATCTCTATTGAAATAAAAAAAATTCTTCGTTCACAAATTGGTCATTTATATATGTATATGCAATAAGCCCTGTAAATTTGAAACCGATCAGTGCTTTTGGAAAATCTTGGCCAACGTAAAACAATTCTAAAGAATGTTTTTTTTCTTCAAAAAGCTAGTACACCTAAATTTTTTAAAAATATTTTTTAATTATAATATTCTTTTCAATAATTTAAATGTTTTTACTTTTAAATAAAATATTTTTTATAAAAAAAAAAAATTCACAAATATCATTTTGGTTTTTCCAATTCTCTAAAGAATTAGTGAGAATTCGTTCCCTAGGTAATTCAAATTTCCTCTCTTTAAAGAGTATATGACAATTAGATATAAATTTATAAAATATGATATTTATATTATATAATTATTATTATAAAATAATTTGAAACAACCAAATTTTTGTTGAATAAACCAAATAAATAATATAGGTAAAGTTAACCAAACTTTTGTTTAAATTAACCAAAAGTTTATATTTGGCTCAATCACATTCTTTCCTTTTTCGAAAAATTTATTAAAATAAACAAAACGTTTATTTATATAAAATAAATATTTTTTTGAATCAAACAAACTTTGTTTGAAATAACTAAAAAAAAATTTTTTAATAGAAAAAAATGGTATATTTGGTTCAAGCAAAATTTTTCTCTGATTGTGAGTGTAGTTAACTTAATGATATTTATTTTTAAAATTAAACTAATATTTATTACAAAAAATTAAAATTTTAAATTACAATTTTTTATGGACTTTAATCATTAAAAACAATTTTAATATTTTAAAATAGGGGAATATACTCATGGTTGGACACCGTTTTGGACTTTGTTTATAATCTTTTTTAAAAAAATAAATTTAGTCAATTGAGTTATATTGTTAGAAAGATGTACAAAAGAGGAATACTTTTTCTAAAGATCGTAAATTGATTGGTCTAAAATTAAAAAAAAGTTCTGATCATTCAAAAAAAAAATCTCGTCAGGGTTGGACATTATACTCAGGTTTGGACACTTTGTGAAAATCGAAGCGAACTCCTATGTGTACAAAAATAAAATAACATTTATAACGTTACTGAAAACGTCTTTTATCTTTATTTTTTCATATTTACATTATTATCATTTATAATTGCAATAAATATTATTTATAACGTTATTAAAAACGATTTTTAGATTCATTTTTTCAATTTTAACGTTATTATTATTTTTCTAATATCTTTGGCAGAATATGTGCTGTGTGGGTGTGCAGATGTGTGTGAGTCAATGTTTATTTGTATATTTATTTATAAATTATGTCAAATTCATAATTAACAAAGTGTCCAATCCTAAGTGTATAAAGTGTCCAACCCTAAGTAGTAGTAACATTTTTTTCTTCAATCATGAACCCCACAATACATGCAATAAATTTACCTTACCGATTTCTTGTTTTCTTTATTCATTTTTTATGTTTAATCACATCGCTCACAAAATTTTTTTCGTTCCTACAAATGCACTGACGTCACAGCAGACGGTACTTTTGATCCTCCAAAAATGTAATTGCACAAAAAGTTAGGTTTCACTACGAGAAGCTTCGTCACGTCCGCGCATAGATGGCGCTAGTGTTCTTATTCTAAGAAAAGCGAAGTGTCCAACCCTGAGTATATTCCCCTATAGCTTAAAGTGTGTTAATATATTAATTATTATTAATTTTTTTGATCATATTACATAAATAAAAATTGTTCTAATCTTAAAAATTAAAACCACGACGTGACAGATCATTAACTTTATAACTTACAAAATTTCTTACAAAATTGAGTCCTGTAAATCAGAGAAAAAATTTATTTATAATTTGTTAACTTTTAGTAATAATACACCTGAGGCATTTTACGTGTAATGTCCTGAGTTAAAAAATTGATTTCTCGAAAAAAAATCAATTTTTTAACTCAGGACATTACACGTAAAATGCCTCACCTACATCAAGTTTTTATAGTTAATTAAATTATATCAATATATTAAAATATGTGCAAAATTTCAGACTAATCTTATAATAATATAATTATTAAGGGATTTTGGTACAATATTCCATTAAAAAAAATTCTTTTTGTTGTATAGTTTTTAGTTCTCTTTGCACTTCTTGCTTTGGCTTTTGCTGAAGAGGTGAAGAAGGAGGAAGAGAAGAAACCCGATGACAAGGCAAAACCAAAAAGAGGGTTAATTGGACTCGGTTACGGTTACAGTGATCTTACTTACGCATCAATACCTGAAATTTCCACATATCAATTAAGTGAACCCTCAACTCACACTCACACTGTTATCACTAAGGAAGTAGCGGTTCCCGTTCCGCAACCTATTGCTGTACCTGTTGAAAAACATGTACCATACGCCGTCAAGGTAAACTCTTCTAATCATCTTAATATTAATCATTTAACTTATTCTCATCAATAAAAATTTATTGAAATAAAATATTTCATTTTTAAAAAAAAATAATTTTTGTTTATAAAAACTATTTCAATGAAAGTGTAAAAAAATTATTTTTACCACATATTAAACAATTAAAATTTACAACAGAAAAAGGATTAAAATTATTTCTAAATTGAAACACGATTTATATTTATATATAATTTATAATCTAAAATTTGATAAACATTTCTAATTTTCACTGAAGTACTCTTTAATAAACAAAATTTTCTTTTGAATATCCACTAATAGTAGTGTATATCAAATAAATTAGATCACTATTTTTTGCAACTTGCTCTAATGTTTTTCTAACTCAAAATTATGTAATAATCCATAGATATCTAGAAATGAAACTATTTTTTTCGAATCTATTACGAAAACCGATCCATTTGCATATATAAACAAATGAGAATTTCATCAAAAGAGATTTGCAAAGTATAATCTTGGCATTATAATTTGGTACAAGGCTGCATAGATGTTTTAAAACATCCTGCGTGAGTCCTTGTGCATCAAATTACGCTTCATTGATCACAGAACGCCTTAGCAATAATTAGAGCAGATTAATATGGAAAGCATATATGAATATAAAGAAATTCATTTATAAGAACAAGTTTGACTGTTTAATGCTCACTGATTTAAATCAAAACTACTTTAGCATTCAAAAATTCATAATTTTTTCAAAAATTATAGTATTATTAGTTGGTATTATTAAATATTATCGTGTTGGTAGAAATCGTTAGAAAGCTTTTGACAATCGGTTTTTACAAAATTAATAATTTGAAACTACTTTTTACGATTAGATCCTTTTATCTTTAATGCCGAAAACGACAGATTGTGTTGGTAGAAATCTTGCGAAAGCTCCTGACAATCAGAAATTCCCAAGTTTGAAAGACTTGACATTGTAGTTTTTTATTGGATTGAAAAATTTCTTTATATTTAAAATATAAAAGAAAGCTCTTACCAGTGTAAAAACTGTTCAGATCAAAGAAACAGAAATGTGCATTTCCTCGGCTTATATAGTCACTTCCTTACTGATAATTTTTTGGGGCAAGTAAAATTCAAAATGTGCGAGTAGGAAATTTTAAATTAATTGAGCGAGAATCCCCGAGTTGTGAATGCCATTGTCTATCATTTTCCTTTAACTGACTTTTGTTTCCAAAAATCTTTAATTTCTCGAAAAATAATAATTTTAGGATTATTTAACTTTTACCAATAATTTTAAAATAATTTTTAATTTAATATAAAATATTATTTATCATATTATTATTAATTTAAGCAACAAAATAAATTAATTTTTATTATTTTATTTTCTAAATATTTTTAAAAAATATTAAATAAAATTTATTCATTTAACAATAATATATAAAAATTCTTTATTCTATTAAAAAAAAATCTTTAAATTTAAATTAACAATTCTTTTTATTCGAATTTATATCTTTCTTCTCTTTTTATTATTTTTCCTGTTTACATTTTCATTGTGTTATCTATAGATATCTTCTCTCTCTTTCTATTATTTACAGAAATTCAATTTATCTAGTTTTAGATTCATTTCTCGACATTATTTATTGATATTTTTTATTTATTTTTTAATATTTATTAATTTATAATTAAATTTTTGACTATTGAAATACCATTTCAAACTACTTTTTAATAATAACAATAAAATTAAAAATTGGTTCTTTGTAAGATTTGCTGATTATAAATCCAATGTCAGTTTTTCAAAATTCAATATGGCCGATCCAATATAGCTAAAATATTTTTTAAAATTCATCCAATTCCCTTGAAACTTATTACTCGTGGGTTTTTGTAGTCACTAATTACAAATTTAATATCAAATTCATAATCTACAATATTGTCTACTATATTGTCTCCGACATTTTGAATTTTGAAAAACTAACATTGATTTAGTAATCAGCGTCCCAGAAAACCCCAAATTAAAAATCTTTTAGGTGACAATTGTTTCAAAGTTTAAAATTGGTTAAATTTTATATCAATAAAAATGTCGTGTATAATAGTATGTGATACCAATATTAGACGTAAGTGTAAGTAAAATATTGTTGTATAGATAACTTCTACGCAACTAGTTCTGTCAGTTATAATAACCTGCAAATATTGTTTTGACGTTTTCGTGATTCTATAACCATGTAACTACTATTCAATTCTTCATAAATAAAATGATGAAATCGACTTTTCAATATATAAAAATAAAAAAAAATACGACAGTTGTCGTTAAATAATTTAAAATCACTAGAGACAAACATAAAAAAGAAATAGCAGTCTGATAGACCAGGAAAAGTACTAAGCGTAATTTTTAAGCACCAGCACTTTTGAAGATTAAAATTTTTAATGAAATATGTAATTACTTACAGGTTCCATATGCTGTACCAGTCGATAGGCCATACCCAGTTCATATACCAAAACCATATCCAGTAGAAGTGACCAAACACGTTGCAGTGCCAGTTGATCGTCTAGTACCGTATGCTGTCAAGGTCCCAGTTAAAGTTCCAGTTCCAGCCCCATATCCAGTAAAGGTTCCTGAACCTTATGCAGTCCCTATTGTAAAGCATGTTGCTGTGCCCTACCTAGTTGAAAAAAATACCCAACCCTTAGTAGTTGAAAAACACACCCAACCATTAATAGTTGAGAAACAAACTTACACCTCTGGCTGGAATTAAATTTTTAAATAAATATTGAGGCCTACTCGGATGGGATTGAATTTTTCAAGATCAACGATCTCAGGAAATTGATATAATCTTAATTTTTGTGATGAAAGAAAAAAAAATAAATTTCAAGGAACATTAAAAATAATTATTGCGACTTGTAAAAAAAACCACTACTCTTAATTATGACTGAGAATCTGTGTGAATTGAAATAAAAATACACATTTCTCTTTATGTTTTATTAATTTTTAAGGTAACATCTTTTTTGGAGAGTTCAAGAAAAAACGTGTTGATATCGTAAAATTTTTTTATATTCTTGTAATGTACCTATATATTAATAATTAATCACATTTTCACTATTGTTATCAATCGACCTTCATTTTGACAAACATTTTTCCTGTCCAAATGCTTATGGTGAAATCTATAAAACAAGAATATCTTTTCTATTGCGCTAGATTAATGTTTTTACTTGAACTTTCATTGTCCTGTATTATTGACTGGAATTTATTTTCGTTTAAATATACAATTTTCGTATAAAATTATTATACGTTGTACTTTTGTTTATTCAAACCATATTATACTTTAAAAATTATACTAATAGGAATGATATCTGTCGATCTTTAACAGCATGTGATTGTTAGATTGACAATATTCATTTTGTTTCACTGATGTTTATTCTATTCTTATATCTCTATGCAATTTTCTCACATAACAGCCGTTCCTCATCATATTTTAGACATTTCAACAAAATATCAGATCAATCCATTTAATATTTTAAGAGTAAAATTTCCGATAAAATTAACACCATGTACCTGACAATCACATGATGTTAATGTGCAAAAGAAGTGAATTCTGGAGTTCGCAAAGTTTGTAAACAGAAACAAAAAATAAATTAAACAATCGCTCAAATGTCTTAAAAAATTATGTCGAAAAGTCTGATCAAATAGATTCGAAAAAAAATCATAGATAAATACCCTCCGGCTGAAAATTACCCAATGATGAAAGCGTAAATAGTAAATCTAGAGGTCAAATCAATCATGAGTGTAACTAAATTAAAACCTAATTATATTATTATCAAGTTGCAACACAAAAACAATAACAAAAACACTAAGTGCTGTTGGTCAAAATCTAAAGCGTATGCTCAAAGATGAAAATCACCCGAAAATAAGATTAAACGAGACGATATTACAATCATAAGTGATGCAAGTAAATATTGTCTGATTTTATGTGTCGTTTTGATATCCGGCGGCACAATTAATATCCAAAATCGAATTTATTTTAGAAATTGAACATTTCTGTTTATGTCACTATGTTAGTAGAAAAAAAGTACTTACCAATCGCGAATTCCCTCAACGGAGCTATGGCAGCATCGCCTCTTCTGGACCAGTCCCCCAGTGGCCTCTCTTCTATGCTGGGAGACCGGGGAACTTTATACAGGGGCCATCGCATTAGTTTCTCTTCGAATTCAGAAAATATAAAATTTGTAAGATTACTTTAATATCATGTTCTACTGAGAGAAAATACCTTGTATTATCACAAACCTTTGGAATCTAAAGAAGAGTCACTCTAATCCATAACATTTAGTTGGTTTCTAATTAATTAAAAAGGGTGTAAAATGCAACCCGCATCTGAAAATTTGTTCGCTCTCTTTGTGAAAATTTTGTATAAAAAGATCCACATTTGCCTGGAGAGTTCAGTTCAGAATTTGTCACCAAACCCACTACATCCAGTCCAGAATCTTGCAGAAGTACTGTTACTCTTCCCAATTTTATACTCAAGTTAGACTTAGAAGAATCTCTGCGTCAAGTGTTAAAAGTCTTTATATCAAGAAGAACTCATCCAAGTATTCAAGGCTTTGACTTTCGCATAATATATGGAAATCATCTATTCTTCCTTTTCTGATAGAATTTAATTATTTGGGTTTTCATCACGGTCAACTGAACTCCAGACCTGTGGTCATCACCAAGGCCCGTCAACCTTCCTGTTAGCTCATAAGCTACATCTGGTACCAGCCTTTCCTGCAATATTTAAGGACACATCAGTGGTCCTTTTTCATACATCTTACATCTTAATTTTTAAGGTAAGTAGTAATACTTTTTATCTAATTCCTTCCTAACTCCTTATAAAATTTGTAGTAACCTTTACATTCCTTGTTACAGTGGAATGCTGACTTCCTTATTACAAGAATGGTTGCTTTAAGATACTCTCTCTTAAAGATCAATTTTATAACTCTAAATATTTATCTAAATAAACTTGTAACCTTGTGATTAAAAATCAATATTCTCTTTCTTCCCTGTACCCTTAGCACAGTGCCTTCTGCTCTGTAAATGAAACAGGAATTCACTGAATCACCGATCGGCCACAAATAAAATATTGTTTCGTTAATTATTTCTCTATTTGAGACATAACACCACCAACGCACGCATGTTAAGAATTATCGTCAGAGTTTCCAATAACAGAACCTGAATTTAGGTATATTTTATCCTAGAGAATGATTTTTAAATTAGATTGAAAATAAATAATTTATCCAAAGTTAAAGTTTAATTAAAGTTACAATGTAGGTAAATTTAAAGAGACAATTTTAAGGTTATATCCAGAATCAATATTCAAACATGTCATTTATTTCTAAAAAAAAAAATATTGACAAAAAATGAAAAAATTTTAAAAAGAATAAATAATTTTTAAAACATTTGAAATTAATAAATAAGAAATTCAAATACAAATGAAATTCGTGCTTTCAAGTTATATGTTAATTGACTGCTTTCAGAACTTCTGGTATCTATGCAATAGTAACGCAACGCGCGAGAAGATTCGGAACTAACAGGTAAAAACCTATATATTTAAAATTTTAATGTATTCACATGTTTCATAAATATTTTCGTAGAAATAAGTTACTTTTATTCATTATATGTCTTCATCACGAAGTAAGAATAAGGAGTCTTCACTTCATGCGTGGATTGGAGGAAAAATGTCCTCAATTCTGGTAACATCACTCCGGAAAATTAGTATTAAAATTATATTAGAAAATTATATTAGAATAGTCGGACGTGGCGTTCGTAACGGGAAAAACTTTAAACTATTGATTTCCCTAATAAAAGTCGTCTGCTATTTTTGAAAAGTATATTATAAAATCACATAATTTCATATTTTTGAAAATAAAGTAATTGAAGAAATAGTAAATGTGACCTGGACAGTTAAAAGGGACCTTTTGTCCGAAAAAATTAATTTTTTATTGATTGGTGATTCTGATAGAAAAAAGTTTTCTCTATCAGAATCACCAATCAATAAAAAATCAATTTTTTCGGACAAAAGGTCCCTTTTAACTGTCCAGGTCACAAATGTTAAATATGAAATATTATTTGTATCTAAAAAGTCATTTACAAATTAATTTATTTTATTAATTTTAATGAAGTTCTTTAAAAATTCACTAACTTTAAACTTTTTTTTAATACCCATTCTTTAAGGGGGCATATACAGTCACAATTTTGAAAAAATCGATTTTTCAAATATTTTTTTTTATTAATCTACAACATTTCAAAACACTTCTCCCGAAGGTTTGAATAGATTTGAACGAAAATTGTATGAGATAGAATATTTTGAAGCGCCTGTCAAGCGGATGAGAAGAGAATATCTGAAGCCGAACGAAAAGCGCAACTTGCTACGCGGGAGGCAAAAATTCTTCGGAGGCAGCACCAAACTGATATATTAGACTTTGGAGAGACTTTGGAGGAGTTATACTATGGTCCTGGAATCGAAAATATTGAGTAAGTTAAAAATAAAAAAATTATGAGTCTTATCCTCTTTAAAAACTTTAAACGCGTTTTTCTCGAAACAGTGTTTTCAAAGTCGGTGGACATGATATCTCACAAAATTGTGAACCGATCTTTTTAAAATTTTACACACTTTTTTTAGATAAGATTTACTCGGGAGTGGACGAAGGATTTTTTTTTCAATTACTGGAACACATTTTACAACAACAAAAAAAGTCGATTGTTTAAACAAAAATCACTAGCTAAAATTTAAACTTTTCTAAAAAATCTAAAATTCAATTTTTTTGAAATTCCTTCGTCCACTCCCGAGAGAAAGGACTCTAATAACAAAATCTTTTTTGCTTTTTGATTTCAGATGATCATGGCATCTGTTATCGTGTCCACGCTAAACATCGATTTTTTAAACTCATGTAAAATAATTGTTAATAACTAAGCAAATTATTCATATTTTTCTACACAAAAATAAAAATCTCTTCTTTAAAACATTACTAATAACATGCAAAACTTTTTAAATAAATATATTGAACCATTTAAGAGAAAAAAAATCAAGAAAAAGCGTCTTTTTGGCCTCGTGACTGTATATGCCCCCTTAACAATCAAATATTGTTTTTTTTGTTTTTACAGTAATCTGTAGCTATTTAATTGTAAAAAAATTTTCCATTAAAAATCTCTTAAAATTGAATTAATTCTATCTAAGAATCTTGCGAACATATGACTTTTCCGAAATTCAATTATTTTTAAAATTATTAAAATTCTTTGTGAATGTAAATGTAATAAAAATATTTTTAATCATAATTAAGTAAAATTAAATAATTTATTGTAAAAACAATAATTGATTGTTAAAGAATGTGTATTAAAAAGAAGTTTAAAGTTAGATAATTTTTAAAGAACTTCATTAAAAATAATTAATTTGTAAATGACTTTTTATTTACAAATAATATTTCATATTTAACATTTACTATTTATTCAATTACTTTATTTTTCAAAAATATGAAATTATGTTATTTTAAAATATACTTTTAAAAAATAGCAGACGACTTTCATTAGGGAAATCAATAGTTTAAGGTTTTTCCCGTTACACGAACGCCACCTCCGACTATTCTAATTTTCCGGAATGGTGTTACCAGAATTGGGGACATTTTTCCATTGAAGTGAAGACTCCTTATTCTTACTTCGTGGTCTTCATATAAAAATACTTTAGAAAACCCATTGTTAAATGAAATCTTTTATTTATCGAAAAGTATTAAATTTTCTATTCACAAACAAAAATACTCTGTATAAGTTAGCAAAGAAATGTAATCGTCATATTTATTACACCTTTTTTAAATTGTAAATAGCTTGACACTCTTCAATTTAGAAAGTAAAAATAACAAATAATAAACATAAGATGACAAAAATAAGATATCTCACGTTTCGGACGAAAACTATAAAACCATTGCTATTGTCAACAATCAAGGATCAGCTTGACGAGTCTTTAGCCTTTTATGAGGCAATTAAGTCATTAAAGTAGCTAAATTCTATTTCAGGTCAAGTTTATGAATTTAAGTCCCTTTACCTTATGGGGCGTTTTTAATGCATTTTATCAATGGGCGTTTCCAACATTTCCCCCACTATGTAATTTGTCTCCCACTCACAAAATTTTGGTATCTTGTTTTTTTTTGCATCTTGTCATCACATCACTCAAAATTGAGAAGTAACACGAAAACCATGTTAACTCGCGCAATAGAAATTGTAACAATGTTTACTTATTATGTTAAATATATGTATTAACCCAACCAGTTTCGAATTCATTTTTATATCCTGTACGACTATTATTAATTTAACGGTCGTGATATGAGAAGTTTCTCATACGTACCTAACACCCATATAGATTACAGTATATATTTTTACATGAAATTTTGAATATGTGTTTATTCTCTTTTCAAATTTATAATATAAAAGACTTGAAATGGACTTAAAATGAGTTCATGTTTTTAAGTGCACAATTTTCTCTTATTTTTATCATTTTGTCATGGTTGAACAAATGCAATTTAATATTTATTGCAATTCATGTACGAAATGATTTACTTTTCATTATAAATAAAAGAACCTTTTTATTTTATTACAAGAAAAACAATGAACGATACAATTAAAATTTTTTTTACTTTTATTTTCTTTTTCTTACAAAAACCGTATTGATAACAAATAACAATATAACACTTATAATATTATTATTCTCACATTAAATTATTTACACAAATATGAAAAACAAAACAAATTTTAAACAATTCAAAAATATTTGTTTGAAATTAATTAAGAATTATATTTTAAAAATTTGAAGCAAACATTTTTGATTTGTAAAATTTTTGTGTCAATAACAATTTCTTTGTACAACTAACTTTACAATAAGTAGATATCATTATTTAATAACAAAAACAAATTTTTATCATAAAATCCATTAGCTAATGGAAGTTATTTGAAAATTTGGAGAAATTTACAATTTTTAACAAGAAATTTAAAAATATTTAATTGTAATATAATTCCGTTTCTAATATTGTCCTCCATAATTTTTGCCACTATAAACTTGACTTGATGAATAATTTTGTTCAGAAATAATTTCCTTTTCAGCTTTAGATTCTTTTGGAAAATCTTGTGGCGTCTCATAATTTTGATTTGATGATGAAGAAAATTCCTGTTCAGAGCCATAATCTTTTTCTTGTGTTAAATCATGTTGAGAAACTTGATATGTTTGTGCATTAGATTCATCACCCTCGTTTGTAGAATCTTTATTAAGATCACGGTGAAAAGATCTTGATAAGTAGTTGTGATCAGAACCACCGTTACTGTCACTATAATCATTGTGAGATGATTCGCCAGATTGATGATGATGATAAGGCACTGGATGAGGGACAGGATAATAGATGGGTTTATTGATAGTTACAGGGTGCGGAACCGGAACTGGATGAGGAACTGCTATTGGCTTTGATACAAGTAAAGGCACCTGTTGATGAACTTCAACTGGATAAGGTTTTTGAACTTCAACAGGTACATGATGAGGCACTTTTACTATCTGAGGAACAGGAATTGCCACAGGTTGTGTCACTGGAACTGGAACTGGTACATGGTGAGGTACCTAAAAAACCATTTAATCTTGAAAATTAAATAAATTAATAATGTGGAATAAAATATTATAAATGACTAATAAATTGTAAAATGGTAATTTATAAAGATGATTATTAATTATTTTGTATTGCATAATAAAATTTATAATTTGTGTTATTCTTCTACTTTGCTTACTATTAAGAATGAAAAATTTTTTAATTAAGATCTTTCATTTCTGAATGAAATTAAAAAATATTTTACAAGTACATGATCAAAATATACATATATACATATATAGTTATAATGATTAATAATCTCTGCTTCATGGCCGTATAAATTCCATGTAAATTATTGGCTTAATTAAAAATATTATTCTACTAAAATATATGATACCCCCTGACGTTTAATTCGACGCATGTCACCTTTTAATTGCTTTCAATTATTGAGTAAGTCAATATTTCATTTTTTTCACCGAAGAAAAAAAAAATAATTAAAATCAAAAAATAAAACTCGATACAAAATTCTATATGTAGTGGATTATTTATATTTTAATTATTAAACTAATAATTTTATTATTTAATTATATAATTATCAATGACAAATATTTGAAGAATGTTTCTGTTTGAATATAGGTTTCTGTATATATTTTCGAAATATTTTGCAATAAAACTACCTTGACAGGATATGGTACGGGGACTCTGATTGCAATCGTTTTAGTGATCTTGATAATTTTAGTTGGCACTTCTTTTAATTGAACTGACTGGGAGATGAGCTTCGGATGAATTTGCAAATGATCAAGACCATGACCGTCAATTTCAAAGTGAGAGGCCTTTATCATGGCCACGACCGTCATTACTAAAAACTAAATACAACTCATTAAAAATTACACAATTTTTCTATTTTCTTTGCATTTCATCTATTTTTCTCTTCACAAAAAGAAAAAAATTTATTTAAAAAAAAAACAAAAAATCTACTACTATTCACAAAAAAAACAAAAATTTTACTTTATTTTAAAACATTAATAATAATTAAAATTAGTTGAAAATCAATTGAACAATTATAATCACAAATCTGTTTTGATTTTCACTGTTCAACTTTAAATTCAATTTAGAGCATATATTATACAGACACTTCTGTTTAAAACTTAAAGTTTATAAAAATGAATTTTTTTTAATTAATTAAAACTTACAATATTTAACATCATTTCACTATATAAAGAAAGTTATTTTCTTAAAGAAGAGCCGTACTGACAATTGTAGATCAGATTTGTTGCTTATATACAAAGACCTTCACCGTCATTTATGAAGAAAGCACTCTCCTACTACATTGCATTCGACAATCTAGTTTAAAATTTTTCTTCCATCAAATAAGTTCAATGAACCAGCCACTATTCTTCTCTGATAAAATCAGATTTCATGATAAGCTGTCGTGATCCATTGTCTAAATCTCTAGATTTATTCATATAAAAATAAACTTTTTTTAATGTTATAACAATGCTAAGAAAAAAATTCTAAATTGCATATATAAAGTAAAAAGAGAAATAGAAAAACTTTTTAAATTAAATTTTGTATTTAAATTTTGCATATTTGAAATTATTTTCAAAAAAAAGCAAAAATTTTTATTTATTTTCTCAAGAAGAAAATCTAAATATCCGTTTTTCTCTGTTAATCTTTTTTACCAATTTAGAAAGGAGAAAGAGAAATGAATCACGTAAAGAAATAATTTTTGTAAACTGTGAATTAACTGTGATTTAAGTAATTTAAGACTTTACTTCATATATATATATATATATATATATACAACGTTACTCTGCATTTCCTGAATAAGAAAATTTAACTAAATGTAATTTAGGAAGATATATTGCTTTTAGTATTTTTTTTATTTACTTTATTTTTTATTACATTCTTTTATTTATTTCATGTATATTTTTTATTTAAATAATTTTAAAAATCCTTGACTTTCATTAGGAGGAAAAAAAATCTTATCAATTTATTATATACAGAAGAATAATAATATAGTCACTTTAAAAGTGAAAGGTGTTATTACAGTACAGAAATTATAAAAACATAATTATATTAATGCAAAGTGTTACATCTATTACATAATCGTAAGATATAATCTCTTAGTTTAATTATAATATCTTTCTGATTTGTATCCTCCCGTGTGGAAATCTTCCCAAAGTCGCCCAAAGTGAGACTGGGCGCCAATCTGGACCCAACTTGGCTTCCCAAAGTTTGAAAAATGAAGAAATAAAAGAATTAAGTTAATTAAATTATAATTTAAATAATATGCTGAACAAATATATATACACGGAGAAAAAGAAAAAGTAATTTTTACTACTTTCAGAGTAAAACTGGACCAACTCGAAGTTTCTGCGCATCTCTGGCAATTTTTACTCCAAAAATAGTAAAATTTATTATTTCTGTAGTAAATTTTACTGTTTCCGTAGTAAGTTTTACTATTTCTAGAGTAAATTTTACTATTTTTGGAGTAAAAATTGCCAGAGATGCGCAGAAACTTCGAGTTGGTCCAGTTTTACTCTGAAAGTAGTAAAAATTACTTTTTCTTTTTCTCCGTGTACAAAAAAGCGCAACTGTGAAAAGCTGAAAAAATTTTTGTTTTTCATTGTACTTGGGCAAAGTTTGGGTCAACCCAACCTGGCCCCAACTGGGATTTTCCAAAGTATTCCCAAACTGAAATTTAATTTAATATTCTGTTATAAATAAATAAAAAATTTGAGAAAAAATGAGAAATAATAAAACTAGTTAATTATATTTATATTTAATTTATATGATGTTTGGAGATTTTTCCAAAAAGCCAATTTGGGCAAAATTCACATTTAAGGAAGTTCTCCCCCTCCAACGTCAGTCAAATCAATGCCCATTTAAGTTTTCATTTGTATCACGTAGTACTAGCTCAACGCTTGGCAACGTTGGATTATATTTTCCCCGTTCCGTTTCGTGTCGTCTGCTATTGTTTGATTTATTTTCGTTAAATAATAATAATAATAATTTATTATTTTACAAATCTTAATTTTTTATAAGCAAATTCAAATTATTATTCATTATTATGAATCTTTGAAGAATATACTATTATATGTATATACTACTTATATTACTTTCAAATTTCGCGCTTTTTCTATACCTAACCTACAAGACGCAACGTTGCCAAGCGTTGTGCTAAGTAATTTCTGATTGTCAAAATACGGTGTTTTTTTAGACAAAATAATTAATTGTGAGTCTCCTAAGCCAGGTCTGATCAATTTTATTAAAAGTAAGTGAACATTGGCTATTAAACTTTATGTATATAAAGTTCCAGTAATATCTTTTCGTCAGATTTTTCACAATTTGAGATTTCAGACCAAAAAATTCAATTTCCCATAAGAACCCGTGTTAAATGTGAAAAGAGAAAATTATTTATATCTTCTGTCAAAATCCACCTAGACCTCTAAAAATTTAACTACATCTTCTTTAAACCATTATCTATCAGTTTATCAAGTTTGATAATTAACTCTTCGTCATTTCTGTTTGCGAGAGAACTTCCTTAAGGAAAAATAAGGAAATTGAAAACTTTAGTTAATTATATTAATGTGCGATTCCAAGTGAGATTTTGACTTTTTCGGAGTAGGTTAACCGATTGCAATGAAACTTTGGAATTTTGTTATATATAGTAAGACTAATCTTTAACGTAAATTTCAGCCTAAAATATTTGTTAGTTTACGAGATTTGCAATAATAACAAAAAATTTAAAACTGCTATATCTTTCGTTCTAATAAACGGATTGAGGTCTACTTTTTTTTAAAATGTCAAGGAAAATGAGAGCAATAAATCTCTTTCAGAACATTTTTTTATAATTTTACAACTAAAAAAATTATTAAATAATAATTGAATAACTTTCGCGCGACTAACTAAAATTCAATCACTTAAACGCTAAAATGATTTTACCTGTGTTTTCTTTAATGTTCCAAAGGATTTTTATTGTAAATGTAAGTTTAACTTAAGAAATTTTATTAATTTATTAGTATAAACAATTGAGATTTCTGCTAGTTGACGTGCAGACGACATTGCGCACGCAGCATTCTCACATAGCCAATTTAGTCCACGAATCACGTCAGTTGGCTATGTGAGAATGCTGCGTGCGCAATGTCGTCTGCACGTCAACTAGCAGAAATCTCAATTGTTTATACTAATAAATTAATAAAATTTCTTAAGTTAAACTTACATTTACAATAAAAATCCTTTGGAACATTAAAGAAAACACAGGTAAAATCATTTTAGCGTTTAAGTGATTGAATTTTAGTTAGTCGCGCGAAAGTTATTCAATTATTATTTAATAATTTTTTTAGTTGTAAAATTATAAAAAAATGTTCTGAAAGAGATTTATTGCTCTCATTTTCCTTGACATTTTAAAAAAAAGTAGACCTCAATCCGTTTATTAGAACGAAAGATATAGCAGTTTTAAATTTTTTGTTATTATTGCAAATCTCGTAAACTAACAAATATTTTAGGCTGAAATTTACGTTAAAGATTAGTCTTACTATATATAACAAAATTCCAAAGTTTCATTGCAATCGGTTAACCTACTCCGAAAAAGTCAAAATCTCACTTGGAATCGCACTAATGCTTAAATAATACCTTCCCTGAATAAATAAAATGTATGTCAAGTTCTTAGTTTTTAATTTATTGAACTAAGCTAATTAATAATAATAACTTAGTCGTTTTATTGAGTTTGGGCTTTCCCACTCTGACCCCATTCTCAATCATTTATTTCCTATTTTTATTCAATTTATTAATAATAATTGAACATAATTTTCTAATTTAATAAATTATTTAAACAAACTTATACTGTAAACAAAATTTTGACTTCAACGACAACTATACTTTGGTACTTATTAATCCAAATTATTACTGGTAAAAATGTTAAATTAAAATAAATGAAATTAAGTAAGTGATATTTTTACTATAATAATTAAAAATTTATTATATTTTAATTTATTGTCTAACCTAATCATATTTTTCACATCTTTGATTCAATAATTGTATGATATAATGATACTGAGAAATTAAAACTTGTCTGCAGGTACGCGTTGTTAGCATAGTGGTTAGAGCGTTAATCTATAAGTCCGTAGGTCGTAGGTTCGATTCCCCTCGTGCGCAGTTTTCTTTATTTCATAGGTTTGCGTTATTTCTAGATTTTAATTTATAAGTTGTACCAAAACTTGAAAATCTAATACATACACTATTATTTAATTTTTAAATTATATAAATATTTTTTTACTTTTTTTACTATATACATTGTTTGTTAGTCGTCATCTTTAATACAATTTAATTTAAAAGGAAATTATACTTATTCATTTAATTTAATCTTTTGTTGTTAAATTATTTATATAATTATTAATTAACAATTATAAATAAAAATGGAATAACTCTTACACGATCTCACACTTGTTAGATCGATACTTGAATATGCCTCTATTATTTGGTCACCAATGTATGTTTTTAATATTATAAGAATTGAACATGTTCAGAATCGATTTCTTAGATTTGCTGCAAGACAACTTAATTTACCATTTAATAGTCATTCCCATGAATATAATAAGTTGCGTGATGTTTTGAATATTCCATTGGTATTGTCAAGATTTCTTTATTCTGATTTGGTTTTTTTATTTAAAGTTTTGAATGGCTTTTTTCAATGTCCTCCTCTTTTATCTGTAATTAATTTGGCCATTCCAACAAGAAATACTAGAAACTATTTGCCGTTTCGAGTGACTTTTTATAGAACTAATTATGGAAATAATGAATTAATTAATAGAATTAGTAGAGAGGCTAATACAGTTTCTGATCAAGTTAACTTTTTTGATATAAATTTACAAAGATTCACCTCAGCATTGCGTAGATTAGTGTTTAGCATAGAAAGTATTGAGCCAACCTAGTTGTTAGTTACTGTATTTTTAAGTATAATTGTAATCTTTTCTTATAAATACTACTGTATGAAAGGGCATGTCCCGTTTATTTGATAAATAAATAAATAAATAAACTCAATCTGTCCCCAGCTGGGATTTCCCGACCTTGGGAAATCTTTGGGATCAGCGTTACGCGCCTAGTTTGGGCGTTGTCTGGGTTGCCCACTTTGGACATTGGGGAACCCAGTCTGGACCAGATTGGGGCCCAGTCGACTTTTCCACACGGGCTACTAATTGAAACAATTTTATTGTCTCATTATAATATATACGTTTATAAAAGACAATTAATTCTTAATTCATTCTTCATAAATAATAAATGAACAAAAATTCGATACTTGCTGCTAAAAT